AGGTGTTCAGGGTTTAGGGGTTTAGCTGTTTAGGGTTTAGGGGTGTAGGTGTTTAGGGTTTAGGGGTTTAGCTGTGTAGGGTTTAGGGGTGTAGGTGTTTAGGGTTGAGGGTTTAGGGGTTTAGGTGTTCAGGGTTTAGGGGCTTAGGGTTTAGGCGTTTAGGGTTGAGGTGTTTAGGGTTTAGGGTGTTCAGAAGGATAGGATTGCCCAGAGACTCCAAACCCCATAAATTTAGGAATATACCTTAAATCATAGTAGGCTTCCTATTAGAGTTTAAGGTATATTCCTTAATTAAGGGGTATTGGAGTCTCTGGGTATTTCCCCAAGAGACCCTCGTGAAACCCTAGATTAAGAACGAAGCAGCCCGAGAAGGAACTGGGCATGGAGGAGCGCATGGGAAAGCTGCGGATGCTCCAAGAGAACAGCACGGGCCCGCTCGGGCGCAGCTTTGGCTAACTCCTGCTTTGGGAGTGGAGGCTTTGGAGTCGATTTTGGGTTTTAGGTTTTCGGGTCTTGGAAAGGAAAATGTCAGGGCTTTGGTGGAACTAATTTCTTGAAGGGGTTGGGGTTTTGTGGGGTTTGTGGGTGGTTCGGGAATTGTGCGCTTGGGGTGCGGGTGTTGAGGCGTGTAGGCTTGGGAGTTCGGTTCTCTCCTGCATGGTTCCAAGGCACAGCTGCAGATGTGCCTGCGGCATCGAGGCCACAGTCTGCACAATGTCCGTGTGTGCTGCAACTGATGCCATGATTGTGTCAGCTGGCACCTCAGCGCTCCGTTTCAAGGAGAGATAGCGGAAGACATAAGAATAAGTGCATACCACAACGCCTGGATCAATGCTTCTTTACTCCCTAAATGCACAATCAGGCTGGCACGTTCGGATCTTCCAGTGCGGCAGCTGCCGCAGCGGCTGGATCCACTGTGCTTGGAGTGACCACTCCGCTGCCTGCTGTTGTACCTGGGTTGTGAAGCAGAAGGGTGTCTATCGGGAAACCCGATGCCCACCGATGTATTCAACACCCCTAAACCCTACACCCTGAAACCAGCACCCCCTAAACCCTAAACCCTACACCCTACAACCTAAAAACCCAGCACTGCGGAGCCCAGGTGCCCGATGTCTTGATGGGTGCAGGTGGTGCTTGAGGCTGGCGAGGTCGGCTCGGTGCCTCGGGTCCCACCAGGGCCAAGGTACCACTGCCAGCCTTTGCAGCGGCACGTGCAGGTGCACCACGAGACTGGTCCTTATAAGGGCTGCGTAGCCTAGCCCAAAAAAAGGTTTACCTTTTCAATTATGGTAGGATAATATAAGCCCCAAAAAGGTTAAAGGTTACCTACTCAGCTACTAAGGGTCGTTATCGGCAAGGTCCAGTCGGAGCAACCTTCCGTTGCATTCCTTCTCACTGAGGATCTTGATAGCCGTGATAGCTGTATCTGGGTCCGCGAAGTCGCAGAAGCCATAGCCTTTCGGTTGCAAGGTTTCTTTGTCAAAGACCATGCGAAAGGACTCGACCTTTCCACCTTGGGACAAGTGCCCACGAACATCATCTTCTGTAGCATCCTGAGAGTAAGCTTCATAAAGGTTTCCGCGATAAAGAAGCCGTATTCTTACTATAGATCTCATTTATGATAACTTAAGCTAACTTCAACAACAAGTTCGTTTACTATAGATCCCGATTTATGCCCAGCATCATATGGAATGTTTCCCACGAAGACGGTGGAGGTTTTCCCAGGCTCTCCTCCTTTGGACACCCCTCGCGCAGGCATCCCACGCGCCAGCTCGTTGTCTGCAAGATCCAGTCGAAGTAATCCTTAGGGTTGAAAAGGGGTCTTTGTGGGGTTTGGGGGGGTTTTAGGGTTTAGGGTTCAGGGTTTAGGGGTTGAGGGGGTTAGGGTTGGGGGTTTAGGGGTTTAGGGGTTAGGGGTGTAGGGTTTAGGGTGTTTAGGGTGTTTGTTTTGGGGTAGCAATCATTACTAGGGGAACGAAAGGTTAGCCAGTGGGATTATGTCGGGATTGGCCGTACCCCAACAAGGATAAAGGCTACCTGCTCTACGACTAAGAATCTACCATGGCATTCTCTTTCGCTGAGGACTTTGATGGCAGCGGCAGCTGTCTCAGGATCTGCGAAATCGCAGAATCCGTAGCCCTTTGGCTGCATCGTTTCCTTGTCGAACACCATGCGGAAGGACTCCACTTTGCCACCTTGGTTTAAATGGGCACGCACATCATCTTCGGTGGCATCGTACGGAATGTTTCCGACGAACACCGTGGCCGTCTTCCTGGGTCCGGGAACCAGCGCCATCGCAATTCGTGCTGGCACTCCTGAATCCTTCCTACCTTGTCCGAGACGTGCTAAGCTGAAAGTAGTAGCTGAGCACTACGACGATGCTTTTGCTGCCTGGGGTTTACACTGTCATGGTTGAGGCACAATGAGACTGCGGTTTTGGTGGTTCAGATCCCCATCCCCCCCCATCATCGCAAGATACCTCAGGATGTGTCGCAAAGCTGCAAGCCCCACACAAATCCGAACACTGCAGCGATGTTTTGCTCAGGCTGGCGATATCGGTCCAGGCGCTCGGGTAATATTAAAGCCGGCCAAGTCCAATCGGAGAGCTCTTCCTTTGCATTCCTTCTCGCTGAGGATCTTGATGGCAGTGGCAGCTGTCTCAGGATCTGCGAAATCGCAGAATCCGTAGCCCTTTGGCTTCATCGTTTCCTTGTCGAACACCATGCGGAAGGACTCGACTTTTCCACCTTGGGACAAATGCCCACGAACATCATCTTCTGTAGCATCCTGAGCTCTTGTGAGGGAACTTCAAACGAGTCACCATGATAAAGAAGCCGTATTATGATAACTTAGATTAACTTCCTAAACAAGTTCTTTACTATAGCTCCCTATTATTATAATACTTCAACGAACTAACTTCCTTAACAAGAGCCCAGCATCATATGGGATGTTTCCCACAAAGACGGTGGACTTCTTCCCAGGCTCTCCACCTTTTGACACCCCTTTTCCAGGCATTCCTCCAAAACTGTCTGCAAGACGAAGCCGCAGTAACCTGCCATGGAACTCTCCATCCCCGAGGACTTTGATGGCAGCGGCAGCTGTCTCAGGATCTGCGAAATCGCAGAATCCGTAGCCCTTTGGCTGCATCGTTTCCTTGTCGAACACCATGCGAAAGGACTCGACTTTTCCACCTTGAGACAAATGCCCACGAACATCATCTTCTGTAGCATCCTGAGCTCTTGTGAGGGAACTTCATACAAGTCACCATGATAAAGAAGCCGTATTATGATAACTTAGATTAACTTCCTTAACAAGTTCTTTACTATAGATCCCTATTGTTATAATTTCCTTAACAAGAGCCCAGCATCATGTGGGATGTTTCCCACAAAGACGGTGGACTTCTTCCCAGGCTCTCCACCTTTTGACACCCCTTTTCCAGGCATTCCTCCAAAACTGTCTGCAAGACGAAGCCGCAGTAACCTGCCATGGAACTCTCCATCCCCGAGGACTTTGATGGCAGCGGCAGCTGTCTCAGGATCGGCGAAATCGCAGAATCCGTAGCCCTTTGGCTGCATCGTTTCCTCGTCGAACACCATGCGGAAGGACTCCACTTTGCCGCCCTGGTTTAAATGAGCACGCACATCATCTTCGGTGGCATCGTACGGAATGTTTCCGACGAGCACTGCAGCCGTCTTTCTTGGTCCAGGAACTAGCGCTGTCGCCATTCGTGCTGGAGACTCTGAAGAGTCTTCGGCTTTTGAAACTGGCTAGACCGAAGTTGATCCTTGACCCTAAGGGTCCAAGAAGTCCTTATCTATGGCTTTTGGTACCCAAAGTCCCATAATAGGGAGCACTTGGACCCTTAGGTTGATGTTTCAGTAGGAAGTTGTGCGCGCCAAGCTTTTCTCCGGGATCTACGATCTCGCACTTTGAGGCCGAAGAGCAGAAGTTGAACTTGAGGTGTAGGGGCCTTAATAATGGGTTTAGGGTCTAGGGTTTAATTAGGGTTTAGGGTTTAGGGGTTTAGGGTATAGGGCTTTAGGGTTTAGGGGCGTAGGGTTTAGGGGTTCGGGGTGTAGGGGCTTAGGGGTTTACGCTCTCACAACTCGGACATGCCAGGCGAGGTCAATGGTACGAGGTCGGCGTGAGACAGGAACAAGGACCCCCAATCGCTCCGAACCAACTCCGAAAACCGAGAATCTAAGACCCTTACCGTAAAAGCGCCTTAGGGGTTTAGGGTTTACGGTTCGGGGCTTTTTCCCGCCCACTTAGCAAGGACGAGCCCACATTGCAGGGTTAGGTTCAGAACAGAAGGCATTACAACGGTGTTGATCGCCCAGAACAGTCAGTTCGGGGTTTGGGGTTAGGGTTTAGGGTACTCAGCTCAGGGTTTAGGGGTTTAGGGTATCGGGATGATTATTTTGAGATTGTATTACCCCAAAAACAAGCCAAAGGGATTATGATGGATTACATATATTTACGTACAGAGAGAGAGAGAGAGAGAGAGAGACTATGGTACCCGAAACAAGGCTGGCTGTTCTACGCTGTTCTACTGCGAAGCTTAGATCCTTGAAATCAGGCTTGCAGCCTCGCAGGAGAACCCACTGGTGTATAGGGTCTACCGATGTAGCTGAATCCCCCGGACATAGGCTTCTAAAGATCTGTATTAATAGGAATCCAAGCCAGGAACATACATATAGGGTCTCTATGTATGGGCCTTGGGATCCTCTTCAAAGGCCCTAAAGCAGGCCTGCACCAAGTTCACCACGCGACTTCCGGCGAGCCATCTGCCAGCAGTGCGACACCAAATGTCGAGAACCTGGGTTTGCAGGAAAGTGGTTTAGTTTGGGTTGATATAGGGTTCGAATTGGGTTTAGGATTTAAGCCTCCTGGTCTTACAATGCTTCCAGCACTCACACTCGGACATGCCTGGGCGAGGTTCCTGGTACGACGAACGCACATAGGCCGAAGCAACATTAACTCCTACTAGCAGTCAAGCCCTTTAGGCAGACTATCCCACACTCACAGCAGTGCCTACACACCAGTCTCGGCTGATTTCAAAGCAGCCTCTATACACGATCAACTTCATGCGGCGGCATCCTACTCTCCCTTAGGGTCCTTAAGAATGGGTTTAGGGTCTAGGGTTTAATTAGGGTTTAGGGGTTTAGGGTTTAGGGCTTAGGCTTCATGGCTTAGGACTTTTGGGGGTCGGGTTTTGGGCTGAGAGAGTGAATTCCGAGTCTCGAGCTCATGCTTGGCGAAACCCTACACCCTCTAAAAAAAGGCTCAGGGTTAGAGTTCAACTGGGTTCTTGTGGAAGGATTTTCTTTCAGTTACCATATATGGGGATCTATAGTAAATAATGTAGTTAATGTAGTTTTTTGTGGTAGCTTAAATTAAATCCGCTAACAAGAACCTAGTCAAAGGGCGAGGATGGGGGATGTAGGGTTTCGGGCTTTTCACAAACCGTCAATGCTCCTTTTCAGTATGTATAAGAAGACCATCTCAATCCTTTCTAGGGTTACTTTGGACTTTTCTAAGAGCTTGACCAAAGTAGTACTAGCTGTCACTAGCCCACACACCCAAAGGCCTACATCCTGAACCCTAAAATTCAAAACTCCTAAGTCCTGAACCCTTAAATTCAGAACCCCTAAAACCCTAAAGCCCCCCCAACTTTGCAGCCCTGGTCATCTAAGGCCGCCGCCGTCGCGACGAACTTGTCCAAGTTGTGTTCAAACCGCTCCTGAGCTCGGTTCGAAAGACTGGGTCCATGTCGTGGGGGTTTCGGTCCTGGTGCTGGTGCTGGTACTTACTGCTGTTGCTTCTGCTGTTGTTGCTCTTCTTGTCGGCATCGTCGTTGCTGGTGGTGGTGGTAGGGAGAGGGATTCCCGAATAAACCGCATATCAAGGGACCCCACCCAGGCGATTCTGACTTGATTCCTGCATGCTGCTGCGAGCCCAACCCCAAGTTCAGAAGCTCCGGACAGAGTGCATAGCTTCTAGTAGCTTGCAAGTGGGGATATAAAACACATGGGTTTGGGGCATCCTAACTACCCTAAATCCTAAACCCTAAATCCTAAATCCTTAACCCTAAACCCTAAACCCTAGGTCCTAAACCCTAAATCCTAAACCCATAAACCCTAAACCCTCCTTATAAATCTACTTACTGGCTTCCCCCCCCCCCCCGAACCTCCGAAGATGCCACAAAGGTACCCACAGACTCCAATATCCCTTAATTAGAAAATTTACCTTATAAGTTATAATGGGAACCCCAATAAGATTTAAGGTACATTCCTTAATTAAGCGATATCGGAGTCTCTGGGTAGGTGCCTTTTACTGGCCGCCCTCGAGGGTTTTTTTGCGCTTCCGGAAACCCCGGAAAACGCCGCTAAAGGCAGGACTTTCGGGTTTAGGGGGTTAGGGGGCTTTGGGGTTTCAGCACTCACACTCGGACAAGCCTGGTTTTGGGGGTTTGGGGTTTTGGGCTTAGGGGGTTTAGGGGGCTTTTGGGGTTTAGGGTTATGGGGGTTTAGGTGTATTCAAGGCGTCAGTTTGGAGAGGCCCGGAATTGCAGATATAAACGTGTGCATGCGTGCAAGCAAGGACTCTAATGTGCTGCACAAGGCCATGGACGTCATCATGATTGGGCCATGCTCAACCGCAGAATGGATCGGCTAAACCGAGCGACAACAGTTCAGCATAAAACCCGGACAGACACACCCGAAACTCGAGTTTCGGACACGGAACAAGCAACAACAAAATGCAAGCAACATCGACAGAAACGCCCGCAGGAAAAAAAAGGCATCAGCACCTCGACGAACATGCGCATTGCAGAGCAAAGCGAAGGAGGCAAAGCGAACAAGCATCAGAAAGGGGGCCGAGCGGCAGCTCAGCCACCTTGGCACAAACAACAAATCCCCAAATGCCCACGACGCTTCAGGAGAAAGCTCGCGAATCTCCAAAGCGAAACTCCACATATCGAAGCGAAGCGCAACTCCTTTTCAACCCTCTCCCGGCCCATTATTGAAGAAGATAGGAACCCTAAACCCTAAATCCCCTAAGCCTTCCATTCGAGCGACCACAGTCGGAGGTCGCCGTGCCACAAGGGCTTCCAAGGAGTCTTTGGTGGAAGGGCGATTAGCCTGGAACGCCTGGGCTGGCTTGCATTGTGGGGTCCTTACTTAGGGATTAGTATCAGGGTTTAGGGTCATTGTGGGGGCCTTACTTAGGGATTAGTATTAGGGTTTAGGGTCCTTAACGGTTTAGGGCTTAGGGTTGGGATTGCAGATCAGGTAGTGCTTCCCGAGGTGGGCTCGAAAACCACGAGCTTTTCACGAAGCCTCATGCACCCCGGCCGAAAAACAGCCAAAAATCCGTGAGCAATAAATACAGCTTGACCGAGACGTGTGCGGCCGCGTCCCCAACACGAGCAAGGACGAGAAACGCCTATGTTGTACTTCGGTGGCACGAAAAGGGCCTGAACAAATAAACTAGGCTGTTCGTACGTAAGAGCTGTTTTTTTGGGGCTACAAGGGGAGCGCTCATTCTTCAAGCCCCTGTCGTTGCCACACTGCCCTGCTTTGAGGCCCAGGACCCAAACAACCTGGGCGGGTATCAGGGGACTTAGTAAGCACGGTGTATACGACTTGTGCGCACAAGTACCGCAATATGGGGGGTTTAGGGTTTAGGGGTTTAGGGTTTAGGGGGCCGCAATATCGGGGGGAGGGGGGAGGCAAGCGAAGCGTAACCTTACGTAAGACGTGTAACTTACTCGATAGGTCCACCGATCCTGCAAGTCCTTTGCCCCGAGCCGACAACTACACGAAAATCCCCTAGCCCTAGACCGAAATCCACAACCCGAGGGCCCAAAATGAAGCTTAACCTCTGGCAGGACAGCCCTCTGAGGCAAGGTACAAAACTTACTGGGCAAAAGAGGAAGATGGGTTTCGCCACATATGATCGCAGATGCTTATAGAGCGGCCATCAATTTCCAAACCCTATACCTTACATCACCCTCATGCGAAGCAAAAGGTCAGATGCTTCTGTGCATCTGCACTTCCCGGATCCCCGAAGGAACTGCAAAGTCAAGTCGCCTTCCACTTGTTATGAACTCCGACCTTGGCAATGCCGTTTATTGCCTTGAAGGAAACTACAGGTGGGGAGTTTAGGGTATATAGGGATTCTATTATGAGGCTTCTACAAGGTATATAGACCTTCTATACGGCTCCTGTAATACGTAACAACCCACCTGACGATGTCCTAGACTACTTAGGGTCTCAGACAGGGTCTGAATCATGAACCTGGGTGTTGGGCAGTGTATGCCATGATTCCACCAGGAAGTGCAGAGGCACAATGGTACTATCGAAAAACACCCACAAGACCCCATATCAGAAACTTCTGAGAGCCCTATGAATAAGTCCCGAAAAAGGCACTATACCCTCCTGTGAAAACAAGGCCAGGTAGAGTAGAAAAGGTACATACACATATATATATATATGCACACACACAATGAACATAGGCTGGTCGATATTTGCATGAACAGGCCAAGCAAGCACATATGCAGACAAGTTGCATGATTGTACACACTGCATCTCTTGTTAGCACTAACTTAGTACGAGTACTGTTTTGTTCCTACTAGTGCTGCGAGTATTTGTATGGTCATGGCTATGATTATGAGGATGGGCTTGAGTACTTACAAGAGTATGAGCATAACTGTGGCTCTGAT